TGGGGAGGGACAGCTGGGGGGGTGCTGGGGTACAGCTGGGTGGGGGGAGAACAGCTGGAGCACAGCTGGATCGTGACCAAATCATGTGATTGCACCTGCACATCTGGATCAAAGCCGCACAGCTAGATTGTGATCAAACCGCCCTCTTGCACCTGAACATCTGGATTGCAGCTGCACATCTGGACTGTGATCGCACAGCTGGAACACAGCTGAACATCTGGATTGAGACTGCCCAGCTGGATTGCAACGGCACAGCTGGAGGGCAGCACAGCTGGATCGTGGGCAAATCACACGATTGCAGATGCACAGCTGGATTGTGACCAAACTGCACGAGTGCAGCTGCACATCTGGATTGTGCCCACACAGCTGGATCACGGCTGCACAGCTGCACAGCTGGATTGCAATGACACAACTGGATCATGGCTGCACAGCTGGATTGTGACCAAATGACGCGATTGCAGCTGCACAGCTGGATGGCAACACAGCTGGATTGCAAACAGGCCACACAACTGCACCTGAACATCTGGATTGCAACAGCACATCTGGATTCCAGCTGCACAGCTGGATCACGGCTGCACAGCTGGAACACAGCACAGCTGGATTGTGAGCAAATCATGTGATTGCATGTACACATCTGGATTCCAGCTGCACAGCTGGATCGCAACTACACAGCCAGAGCGAGCACATCTGGATTGTGACCAAGTCACACAATTGCACCAGCACATCTGGATTGTGACCTCACCGCTGGATTGCAGCTGTACAGCTGGATTGTGACCATACAGCTGCGTCACAGCACAGCTGGATTGCGAGCAAACGTCACAACTGCACCCGCACAGCTGGATGGCAACCCCACAGCTGGACGGCAACACAGCTGGATTGTGACCAAATCACACAATTGCAGGTGCACATCTGGAGTGCAACTGCACTGCTGGATCACAGCTGCACAGCTGGAGTGAGCACATCTGGATTGTGACCAAGTCACACAATTGCACCTGCACATCTGGATCACAACTGCACAGCCAAGTCACGACACAACTGGATTGTCAGCACAGCTGGATTGCAACCACCCTGCTGGATGGCAGCTGCACAGCTGGAGCACAGAGCACAGCTGGATCACAAACACATCACTGGATTGCACCTGAACATCTGGGTTGCGACCACACAACTGGATCACAGCTGCACAGCTGGATCATGGCAGCATGGCCAGAGCATGGTGGACAGCGGGGATGGATGGTGACAACATGGAGGGGTCACAAAGGGTCATCTGGACCATGCTGGGACATCTGGATCCTTATGAGACATCTGGATCCCAGTGACACAGTTGGACCATGATGATGTGACAAGGTCAGATCATGACAACATGACTGGATGGCGATGGGAGACCTGGACCATGGTGGGACATCCAGATCCCAACGGGACATCTGGATCCTGATGGGACAACCTGACCTCAATGGGACAGCTGGACCCCAATGGGACATCCAGACCCCAGTGGGACATCTGGATCCTGATGGGACATCTGCAACCTGATGGGACCTCTGGAACCCAATGGGACAACTGGATCCTGGTGGGACAACCTGACCCCAATGGGACATCTGGATCCTGATAGGTCAACCTGACCCCAGTGGGACATCTGGATCCTGATGGGACATCCAGATCCCAACAGCATGGCCATACCAAGCAAGGTCCATCTCCTACCGGAGCAGACGGGGGCTATCAAAGTCCCGGAGGCGAGGGATGTCCTCGGTGGCATGAGGTGATGGCGTCAGCGTGGCGGTGGACCGGCAACCAGAGGAGGCAGCAGGCGAGGACGCAGCGGTGGCACAGGGGACATCTTCACCGGGGTACCACTCCTCCATCTCCAACCTGCAGGGTGGTGGCCACAGGGTGGACACTGGGACCAGTAGATCCCAGTCCCCTGGTCCCCATCACTCACTTTCCAGCTGCTTCTTCATCTTCAACCTCCTCCTCCTGCTCCTCTTCCTCCTCCTGGGCACAGCGGCTGAGCTCACTGGCCGAGGGTGGTGGAGGCAGCAGCTCCATCCAACTCACCACTGGTGGTTTCACCACTTGCCCCAACTTCTTCCCCTTGGCCCCTACGGCGTGGAAGGAGGTCAGAGCAGGCTGTGAGGAGAGAACCACACCACCAGCACCCATAGGTGTGTCCTCCACCCATCCCACCATCCTACCATGCTCAGCACGGCCACAGGGTGCCTGAGGAGGTGGGACATCCATCTGTTGGGGACATCCAGGGGTGTAGGGGGTCCCATGCTGCGAGAAGGGACGGGGAAAGGTGTGGAGCTCCTCGCCGTCCACCTCGATGGTGCTGTAAACCGGCCCCTCACCGGCCCCCGCCCCAAATTGCTCCGTCTGGGCGATGTAACGGGTGATCCCGGCGTCTACAGGTGACCAACACCATCAGCATTGACCTAATCCTCCTAATCCAAACCACCCATCTCCATGATGAGCATTGACCATGGTTCCCCCAATCCAAGCCTCCCAGCCCCATGATGAACGTCAACCATGACCACCTCAATCCAAGCCACCCTTATTCATGATGAGCATTGACCATGATTGTCCCAATAAAAGCCACCCATTCCCATGATGAACGTTGGTCATGACCTCCCCAACCCAAGCCACCCATCCCCACGATGAGCATTGACCATGACCTCCCAAATCCAAGCCACCCATCTCCATGATGAGCATTTACCATGACTCCCCCAATCCAAACCACCCAACCTCATGATGAATGTTTGCCATGACTCCTCCAATCCAAGCCACCCATCCCCATGATGAACATCAACCATGACCTCCCCAACCCAAGCCACACAGCCCCATGATGAGTGTTGACCAGGACTCCTCCAACCCAAGCCACCCATACCCATGATAAACGTCAGCCATGACCTCCCCAATCCAAGCCACCCATCTTCACGATGACCATTGACCATGACCTCCCCAACCCAAGCCACCCAGCCCCATGATGACCATTGACCATGACTCCCCCAATCCAAACCACCCATCTCCATGATGACCCCTTCACCGTTGTAGTATCTCTCAGCAGTCCCCAAGCAACCGGTGGTTGTGCCACCACCACGCCACGTGTCCGCCAACCACGGGTAACCACCACTGGTGGCTGCCCTACAAGAAGACAAGGTGAAGGGATGCTGGTGGCCCATACTTGTGGTCATGGGGTGAGAAGGGAGTTCCCGAGGAGTTACCTGGGGCTGCCACGCGCCGGAGCTGGGAAGGTGACTGTGGAAAGAGGTGAGGATGAGGGTGGTGAGGGACCACACCGAGTCCCCGCAGCGCAGATGGACTTACCAGTGGGTGTGTAGGCGAAGGAGGCTGGAAGGAGAAACATGGGTAGGTGGGTGGTGGGATGATGGGTGCTGAGAACCATGAGAACCTCCATGTGGGGTGGTGGGTCCCAGATGTAGGACCCCTCTCCACATACCGGTGAAGTGACTCAACTCTTTCTTCCTCCGGCGGCGACCGTAGAGCCAAGCGGCGAAGGCGGCGAGGATGACCCAACAAGCTCCACCAACGCCGGCGATGAAGGCCGGCTGCTTGGCCACCTCGGCAAAACGTTCAGCCATGTTGCTCCCACGCGCCGACCCCACGTCCCGCTCCACCGGGAGAGCTGCAGGTGACATGGGGAAGAGGGGGACGCACCAGTGGAGGTACCCAGGAGCCATCCCCACCACCAAGGTGACCTCCACCACCTTCCAACCGTGGGTGATAAGGAACTCACCGACGCGGATGGGGACGGGGGCACTGCGGGTGCCCACGCCGGCGCTGGTGGCAGCGGCGACTTCAGCGTGATAAGGGACACCGGGGACAAGTCCTCGTAGAACCGTGGCCAGCACCGTCCCCTCAACACTCTGGTTGATGTGGAATCGGCTCTCGTTGCCCAAACACCAGATCTGGGGAGGAGATACAACAAGGACACTCATAGGGACAACATGCCACGGTGTCACGGGTGACTGGGGGGATCCGCCACGTCCCCACCGTTGTCAAGACTTACACGGTAATCACGGATGACACCGTTCTGCTCAGACGGGGGCGGTGGCTGCCATGAGATTAGGACACTGGTGCCGTTACCGGCCACGCTGACGGCTCGTGGTGGAGCACTGGGGGCTACCAGAGGGGACACATGGTGGGTGTCACCTCCACCAGGTCCCCATGGACACCCACCATCTCCCCATCCCCACACTCACCCGCCTCGGGCATGCGGATGGTGCGTACGGCGCTGTCGGGACCATGGAGATGATGGAAGAAGGGTTGGACCTTGACCTCATAGTCTTGACCACGGAGCAGGTCGGTGAGGAGAGCTCCTCGTTCTCCGGGTGCCCGCATCACCCGTGTCTCCTCCCAGCGCCCACCACGCCGCCGGTACAGCACCCGGTAACCCTGAAGGAAGGGTGCTGGGTGCTCCACCTAGGACCCAAGGGAAGGGTGGGATGGGGAGAGATGGTTGGCACTGGCAGACCTGAACCACGGGCTGGGGTGATGCAGAACTCACGGTCCAGGAGAGGCGGACGGCGCCCAACGGGAGCACCACGGGTTCCTGTAGGTGCACGGTGACTTGAGCCAGCTCCCGTTGGATCTGCTTGGGGTCCAGGTCTTGCTGGGTGGGGCTGGTATCTGCTGAAAACATGAGAGGGTGGTTGGTCCATGGGAACCTCCATCATCATGATCATTGGGTTGAGATGCACCCAAGGGTGGCGGGTCCATGGAAACCTCCATCAGCATTATTGGGTTGAGATGCACCCAAGGGTGGTGGGTTCATGGGAACCTCCGTCGTCATCATTGGGTGGGGATGCAGCCAAGGATGGTGGGTTCATGGAGATCTCACCAAGTGGAGATGGACTCAAGGGTGGTGGGTTCATAGACACCTCCATCATCAACATCATCAAGTGGAGATGGACTCAGGGGTGGTGGGTTCATGGACACCTCCACCGGTGTCACCATCAGGTCTCACCTTGGGTGCGCACGGGCTCCGAGATGCCGCTGGGGTCGCTGAGCCCATAGGCGTTGGCCGCCCGCACCAAGAAGATGTAGACGGTGTCGGGGACGAGGCCACCCACCGTGTGGGTCTCACCTTTCACGTCAGTCGCCACCGTCTGCCATGGGCCACCCACCGCCTGGCTGCCAGGGGACAGGGGTGACCCGTGGTGGGGTGGCACTGGGCCACCATGTCACCCCAGCACCTGGGGAGGACACTGTGTGATACCTGAAAGCCTCCACTACGTAGGAGGTGACATCGGTGGCACCGATGTCCTCTGGCCTTTTCCAGCTCAAGGTGATGCTGTTCTTGGTGACGTTGGTGACCACAGGGGTGGAGGGTGGCCCAGGGAGGACACCAGGGTTGGAGGAAGGTGGGGAGAGGTTGGATCCATCACCTGTGGGGAGATGCGTGGAGATCTGAGGTGGCTTTGTCACCTGGAGCTCTGGTGTCCCCCGTGTGGTGATGTCCCCATGACCCACCTTGGACCTCCAGGGAGCTGCTCCAGCGGGTCTC